TTGTATTAAATAGCTTGTGGATGTGTCTGATATTTGAATCGTGCCGATTTGACTTGATCATATGTTAAGAAATTTTTGTCTAAATCTTTAATATTTTTAACTTGCTTAGACAATTCAGTGTTTTTCATTTTTTCAAATCATGAAAAAAAAAATTAATTCAGCGTTTTAGCTAATTCATTTAATCTCAGGTCTAAGGCCATAACAACTTCGAATTGTTAGTTCATCGTCATGTGGAATATCATGATATGGAGGATATCCAGTAAAAACTTCTGATATAATTATTTTGAAAGAATAAATATCGGATTTTTGAGTGTATTCCTTTTCTTTTGTATATAATATTTCTGGTACGATATAAAGAAGTACACCAAAGAGTTCTTTGGATTTTGAGTCATGTGATATTGGCCTTATGAATTTCTTTAAACCCATCAGCTACGTAAACTAAGTTGGCTACTTTAAAAGCCCAATCTATCACTATCTTTACTATCTAATAATTTTCAGAGATTTCTTGCATACTCCATGACCATCATATAGTTACCATCTTTTGAGCTTTTAGTTATTCCATAAACCTCAATTGCGGAATTGTCCCCATATTTATGCTGATTTTAACTTCTTCTAAAAATTCTTGTATGATATATTTAGAATTATCAATGTTTTTTAAACAAACATCTTTCTGAGAAATTCTCAGCCATTCATTCTCTTCTCAATCGAATCCTATAATATATCTGTCAATCCATACTGCCTTAAATCAATATCATAATCTCCAAAAAAAAATATTTTAATTTGGTAATTTCATTAAAGGATATCTATCTTTAAACTTCTTTGCGTTAAGTTGTGTTGACAATGTCATGACTATCACTGTCTAATTATGAAATTCTTTCAGGAACAAATAATCATCTCGCCGGTTATAAAAATATAAATGCTATCGTCACTTGCTTCTTTGGTCTTTTCGGATAATCATATACTCGTAGCAATTATTCAAGCATTCTACCATTTATAATGGTCCGAACCTTCGAAAGGTTCAGATAAGGCTCGAATGTTGTCTTATAGTACTTCCGGATATAGCTAAGCGTTATATTTTCTTAATCAGTGAATCTTCATTCGTCAGGTGACTCTTGAACTAAAGTTGAGAAGTTCATATCTCACAGTCACCACCAAATGTTGCGGGGTGATTCGTACGTTTAATTAGCTTATACACGAAAATATAGAATTTTTATAATATAAGGCATTCGCCAGAGGCGTGACGATGGTGATTTGACAATAATTTATTTTAGTAAATGAGTTTGACCAGGTGAGTTATTAAATGTATTAGAAAGAGGTTATTAGAATCCCGTAGGATGATGTCTTTTAAGAAGGGCGAAATGCTAGAGCTTTTATAGCTTTAGCGAATGTAAAAGGTTCAAGGGCTTAGGGATGACTCACATATTACATCCTTAACGATTTTAAGAAACTACTTCTAAGCTAAGGGGCTTACAATGATAATTTACAATCATTTTCTGAATTTAATCAGGCTAGCTTTTAGGTTAATCCTAACTATATATTGGAGAAACGATTGGATTACAAAAGATCTTTTTTTTTTTGCATTAATAGAGCGAATAGAATCAGACGCATAATTCATAGTTTAAAACAGCAGAAAAATATTTAATTTCAATAGTCAATCAACTTTTGGGGTTAGATGTAATATAAAAATGAAAGCCATCAATCCAGAAATCATTCATAACTCAAAATTTTGTCTATGAGACTGCCTTCCTTGCGAAATTTTTGCATAATTATAGCCCTCTAACTCTAACCTACTAGCAATACTCTAATTCTAATCTAATAGCGAATTTTTTTTTTTAGAGAATGATCTTGCAATAAAATCACATAATGTGAAAGTTTTTTAAAACGTGGACAAATAGTTAAATTTTAGTCAGTTCGAATCACTAACGAAGCACACTACGGATCCCTTTTCACTAAAATCACTAAAAACGTGCAAAAAAAAAAACATATCCTTGACCCAAAACAAGATGAATAAATTAGAATGATATATTTTTAATAATAAACAACCAAGTTTTTCCTAGTATTTGGACCAATTATGTGTAGGCAGCACAAGATAAGAATTATCGTAGAATGAGGCGCTCTTTCCTTTATACCAATACGTCCGAAGCTTATGTGATTGGCAATCTTGTATTCAACCAATTAACATTATGTTATATTCTTTGGACAATTACAAGTATGTACAAAATTATAAGCTGAAGAACTAAATCTTTAACCTAGTAGAGTAATTTGAATATATCATATGAAGATGTAATAAGAAATCCCCATTCAGCACTTATGCAGATCCTATATCGATATCGATTTAATAAATTAGGCCGTTTGAAGTTGATTCTTCGGTTAACATCACTTTTCCAGGACCCTCGGGAGGGGGGGAGGGGGGTAAAATGAAACGAACATATGAAACGAACATATAAAAATGAACAAAGATGGGCCAATTTCATTGG